TTGGAATAATCATGTGCTTTAGCCACTGAACTGCTGCGCTCCCAGCTATCTCTGGAAATTGCTACCTATCTTAAAGGAAAGTGGACTATCTCTCATTGAAAGGAATGGAATTTGGAATACTGTTAGAGATGGGGGAGAAATTCATTCAATCCAAATTTTGTTGAGAAGTTACCTAATTTCATGCTTTCAAACTATGTGAACCAAAATTCATCTACCGTTTGCAATTTGTACTTTTCCAAATTTTTTAATAGATTTTTCTAGTCAAAATATGTATATGAAAATGCATATAAATCATTTAAAATGCATTATATTTGGAAAACTGCTTGCAAAAATGTATGCATTGGGCAAAAACACCAGTTAGAAGAAATTTGCATAAAGATACTTGCAAGATTTTGTGTAAACATTAAAAAAAACCCTCACCACTTCAAATGAACCAAACTGGAGAATGGAAAGGGAAGCACTAAAATAGATTCGTCCACACTGAGATTCTGCGAGTTCCTTAGATCAGACCAGCAACTTTGTGGCTCTGGTTCCTCCACAGATGAGCACTCTACATAGACATTGATACCAAGGTATGAAATACAGAGTAAGCATTCCATTCTTACCATTGACATCACACGTGCAGTTACACCAATCATACAGTAATGCCCGCAAACAACCTGGTTAACGTACTTGCAGCAAGAAAAATACTTGTGTGCATTTCATATCTTTATTACAGAGAATGATAATTCTTCCTGGTGAAAACAGAAAAGATAAAAAGGCTCTTGGATTACCATCTATGTGGCATACCCTGACCTACTATATAACATTTGGGTTCATAGTATTGCAAGACATTTAATTAAGCAAGGGGTAAACATGAGCACACCTTGAATCTCATTCTCCCTCCCGCCCTCTCTTTTATTGCCCTACTATATGTATGACTGGCAAGGGAAACTTTTAATGATCTGTCCTAATTCTTTCATTTTCATTTTATTACATTTCTGTACCGCATGAAAGCTGAAGCTCTCTGGACTGTTTACAAAGATTAAAACCTTACAAATGCATTACAAAACCTATATACGTACAAACATATCAGGATACAGTACAGATACTCAGATACATCTAAAAGCAAATTTAGCAACTGTATGTAGCCCTTCTTAAACTTCACACAATGTATATTCTCCATACTACTGTATGTGTGAAAAGAAAATTAAGAGGGTTGTATTGGAACTGTTCTCTATGTAATCTGCACAGTTAAGGCATACAAATTTATGTAACCAACATACAGATTCTTGCTATCAGCTGATTTAACTGTGACTTCTGAAGTGGAAATTTCAGCAAATTTCTTGGGATGAACTAGGGAAGCCATCTGAACAACAGCATTGCTTGTAAGACTAGCTGCATTTGTGTATGCTAGGTGGGGCATAGCCCTTGCCTACCTCTGATCACAATTAGCTAAGCCTAGTTGGTCTGGCCAAAAGGAGATCAATGAGGCCTGACCTCTTCCTAACAAGGGCACATCCATCTCTGCAACCCTACGGAGGCTTTCTTTATTGTCTTTGCTTTAACACACTCCATGGAAGACCATTATAGACTGGCTGTCTCAGGTGCTTGCTTCCAGAATGACCTTTGAATCCTCTAATTTTTTACTAAAACTTCCAGCCTTAGCGCACTGCTTGATCCCATTCTACCAAGAAACAGATTTTCAAGCATTTCTAGCTCTGGAACATTATATCTTATGTCTGACTTCTAGTCCTGCTGCGTAATCTACACTAAGAGTTAATCTGGGTTATGTTGTCACACTACTGTGATAAACACTGGAGCTCACATCTTCCACTATTAGCTATAAAACATTTCTGGCTCAGGAAATGTCTTTGCAAAAAATGAAATAAGTAATCTCCTAATGGTGAAATAGTATAAAAGAGCTACTTCATCAAGCCTTTTAGAGATCTGTCTTCAGATTAGTCAGAGGATCATAACATAGACATGTCTTTTTAATTCATAGTTTATTAACACACATAAATTAAAATACTGCTACATTAATAATAATTAAATCCTTGATAGAACAACTCTGACGTCATTTAAAAGTCTTCTCATTGGTTCAGTTATGAGACTGCTGTGCAGTTTGTTTCTTAATAGCTTTAAATACATCAACTTGTTCATCAATATAAACAGCTTTACATTGGATGTCCTTGGTAGTAGCGGCTTGTTTTGCAACAGATTTGAGCCATTAATTGCACACTTTTTCGTAGCATTTCACTTCAGATAACTCAGAAAGATCACCAATAGCATTGATGATATTTTAAATCCAAGAATATCCATTTTAAAGCAAATATATATTCACTTGATAGACCACCATGCTTGAAATCCCACCATATGCATAAAAAACTACATCTACCTATTTTCACCGCCAGTTTCTACCAATATTATTTTCATAAGATATTTTAATATTTTGTTATGTGCCATCCAGTGCTTTCTGATTTACGGTGACCCTATGAATGAATGCTGTCCTGCCTTTGACAGTCTCGCTCAGCTCTTGATGTGGCTTCCTTTATGGAATCAATTCATCTCACAGTTGGTCTTCCTCTTCTGCCTTTGCTTTCCTTTCTTTACCTTCTCATGATATGCCCAAACTATGAGAATTTAGGTTTCTCATTTTTGCTTGCAGCAATAGTTCTGGCTTGATTTGATCTAGGACCCACCTGCTCATCTTTCTGTCAGTCTAGGGTATTCAAAAACTCTCCTCCAGGATCATGTTTCAAACACATCAATTTTCTTCCTGTCATTTTTCTTATGTATTTGTTTTTTTATACTGCCCAATCACCAAGGGCTTTGGACAGTTCTTCACTGTCCGGCTTTTGATCCCATACATAGTGACAAGGAACACAATAGTGTGCAGGACCTTGGCCTTGGTCAAACATCCTTATGCTTGATCATCATTTCTAGTTTCTTCATTGCTGCCCTTCCATGTCTCAGTTGTCTTCTTATTTATTAGCTGCAGTCCCCATTTGAACTGATGACTGAGCCACAGCATGTAAAATCTTTCACAATTTCTTCACTGTCAACAGTAAAGTTCTACAACTCTTCTGTGTATAATCCACACAGTAATCACAACATTTCTTTGTGGTGGAGGGTAATGCTTTCATTTGTGTCCAACTACGGGCAAAACAGCACCTCTTACTCAGTACAGCCATGTGTCCCACCAAATGAATGACCCTCCAGAGCAGATCTGGGCAGTATAGGTGTACAAGATGGAGCACAAGAAGAGTAAATCCCATTATGTGGCTGGGAATCTACCTTTTTTGGTTTCATCTAAGGGACTTTATTTATTTATGATCCTTCCTTACAGATACAAATTTACAGAGTATTCAAAATCACATTTTGTAGAACTCTTTGTTACCTTTTATTCTTAAACACTTCAATTTCAAGAGGGAGATCTGCACATAGAAACATCTTCTATGTGTGGATATCGTTCTCTGAACTGGCATAATTCAGATGTACATATGAATGCAGATGCTATCAATGCACATTTCACTGCTCTCAGTGACATGCACTTCTTCATTGCCACAAATATTTATTAAGGGTTGCTTAGCCAGAACAACATGGATTTCATGCTGCTTACCAGCTATGACAACATCCGTTTGTCTTGATTTGGAATGGACAATTACTGACTGGTGATGAAGGTCATGATGACAATGCCACCACCACTGGTGGTGGTATTCCTGGTACTTGGACTCATGTATTTACACTCAATAGAAAGTTAAAAAGTTTCCAGATAGCTGCTTCCTCTAGTAATGCTATTTGTAAAATATAACAGGAGGACCACTTAATGGAAAAGATACAATCTAGTATGAGGAGTTAGCATTATCATCACTGGTTGGTGTCATCCAACTGATGTTAACAGTTCAGTTGAGCTTCATGAGTTCAGCACAGAAATTTGCAGACTGGGTATTGTAAATGTCAGATATATCAGATTGTCATTTACAAGTCTCCACCTAGAAATTCCTTTCAATGTGTCATTATAGAATCATTGGAACTGCCTAATAATATAAGGCATTTTTCCAGAATATACTAGCTCTTAAGATCTGGACCTGACAATAAAACAACAACCTAGCAACACCAAACTATAGATCATACTACTGCATCAGAAACAGACATTTACAAGAGACATTGCGAACTTATGTTTTTCAAAACACAATTAGCTGAATTTTCCTTTGCACGCCTCCATGTCAAGAAGCCATCTAGGACCCATATTGTCTGTATGGTCAAACAACCTTCTGTTGAGAAGACCTTTACTGTGCCTTTAATGAAAAATTTGTACAGTTTCCTACCAGGGGAAGGTCAATACAGTTTGACACTGCCAGGTGGTTTCCATTACCCTGCTCTTTTCCCATTGGGATTTTTTCCTCAGAATTTGTGTGTGTGTGTCCCTTTTTGGCTAAGAGTACAAGCTGAGTCATGCTTCGACTTGTGCCAGCAATAAGCTAGTCCTAGGAAAGATGTGTTTCTCTTTAAGATCAGCAGATTCAAACTTTGTGAGTAATAGCATATAAGAAACCTCAGACGCTGATCTTTTTAGGCTTAGCTCTTCTACCTCAATAGCACGCAGAGAAGGTGTATCTCTATGGAGCTCTGATTATTTCTTTCTAACTTATACACACATGCACATCCCCCCTGGCTTCCTTCTTTCCCCTCCCTTCTCCTTTTTTTCTCTCCCTCATTTGAGGCAGGCAAAATGGCTGCTGCCTGGCCAACTCATCTTCTGTCAGGAAGGGGAAGCGAAAGGGCTGGGACATGGCTTCTTGGGGTATCTCCGGCCATATTTGAACCTGACTCTTTCATCTCTACGTGGCACCATCTGTAACACAACCGAGAAAGCCAGTTTGGAATAAAACCAGAGTTGGAGACACATGTGGGCTTCTACCTCAATAGCACGCAGAGAAGGTGTATCTCTATGGAGCTCTGATTATTTCTTTCTAACTTATACACACATGCACATCCCCCCTGGCTTCCTTCTTTCCCCTCCCTTCTCCTTTTTTTCTCTCCCTCATTTGAGGCAGGCAAAATGGCTGCTGCCTGGCCAACTCATCTTCTGTCAGGAAGGGGAAGCGAAAGGGCTGGGACATGGCTTCTTGGGGTATCTCCGGCCATATTTGAACCTGACTCTTTCATCTCTACGTGGCACCATCTGTAACACAACCGAGAAAGCCAGTTTGGAATAAAACCAGAGTTGGAGACACATGTGGGTAGTTTTGGCATATTTCGAGTGTTGCAAATAGGCTGGATTGCCAAACTGAGCTATTGTGTTATCGGTTTAACTTTACTCGGTCCAGGCAGGATTGTGATGCTGTGTCTTGAACCAGCTGGAAAGGTTTGTTTGCAGTATTAAAGGAAATGATATTTCTTGTATTTTTTATGTTGTATCAATTGATGTTGCATTAAGCAGTAGAACTGTAAGAATTGTATGTGGCTAGTCAATGACAGGCCATACAATAGGTAGGATTTAACTTATCCCACTTCCGTTATTGCTTTTCATTTCCGAAAGCAGGATCTGATTATAATTTTGTGCCAAGAGTCGTTATGTTTATTCATCTACCTCTGTTGACCAATGTAACCAATGTATCGATGACTACTTATTTTCCTCAGAAGGACTCACCACAAAAAAAGCAAAATGTTAATTTTTTAAAAGCAGTGCTTTTATTTGTCAGGTACCATAGTTTCATTGTTGCTTATATAAGAGTGGAGTGAGTCTTGTAAGAAACTATTCCTGCAGTTATATGTGCATGCCCTAAAGTAAAGTACAAGAAAAGACCTTGACGTCATTTCTGAGCCTCTCTATACAGGTTCAGAGTCGTCATCATTGTAATAGTGCAATGTTGGTTGTGTGTCTGTTATTTGAAGCAACATTAATAGTAACAACAAGCTGATGCTAGAGAAGGAACTAGTTCATTACCGTTTTGTAAGTACCATTCAAAAGGTGCTAACTTTAAAGTACTGAATAAGTTAGGACTAGCATCAGTGATGTCCGTGTGAGTGTGTATATATAACATTTATTTTTCTATGGATAAAAAGATGGTACTGGATTTGTAACAAAAGTAATTACAGTTGTGGTACAGAATACATCTATCATCTGAATTGTTGGTTTTGAATATAATGCAGTGTATTTAAAAATGATATAGAAAAACCTTCCCTACCCTTCCATATCTGGACAATAACTTTCCTGCAAATCACAGGTAACTAACACTTGAGAAAACAGAGTAGAAAATTATGTTTTTCTAGAATAAGGATAGTTTTATATTATGATATATAGTTAATTAATATATATTAATCAAGAAATGCTGCCAGAATAGTCAAAATCCATAAAATACAGGAACATTTTCTATACACTATACAGAAAGGTACCTTTTAAGACATTCTTTCTGTCATGATTATTAATTTCTGTATCAGTTTATAAAAGCCTTATGCTTTATCCATGGCATAGAATGTAATATGTTGAACTTTATTGGTACCATGAAGTTACATGAATAGGAAGTATAGATGGTATGTAATTTGCAACTATATTTGCATTTTCACATAGTTTGTACATGATTTATGATGAATTAGTAAAGTAAAAGCATGATGCAAGAAAGTTATATGAATATATGAATGACAAAAGCTGTTGAATGTGATGAAAGAAGGGGCCAGAATACATTAAACCAGCAATCCTATACCCTCTTTAGTGTAAGTGCCATAAAACTTATGTGAGTAGTCTATAAGTGATTGCAGTATAGGTCAGTGAACTGGAGAACAATTTCTTTATCACCTATGAGAATGATTGCTTCTGATTTTAAATCATTTATAAATGAGAAATGCTTTCCTAATTTGGATTATAACTAAGGCAAATTTGTGCCTTTGTGCTACTCTTATTTTGACTGAACTACACTGGTTGAATGCATTGAATGTTTTTCCCAAGAACTGAGGAATCAGATTGTTGAGCTGCTTCAGGAGTTAGGTTTTTTCCCTCCAAGAAATGTGAATGGCAATAGACATTTCCTATGGGTCTTCCCAGCTATTATTTATTAGTACAATACATATGCAATAGTCAATTGCATGCTGAAGGGTTCCTGATGTCTTGCTCCAGGTAGAGTTTCTGTTGCATTTCTCCCAAACTGCCAAACTTGGTCGCTGAGAAACTGCCTCTCTTTTCCATGGCATTTCTCTTGCTATTGCCAAGCATTTCTCTTGCTCTTGCACAAATGCCACTGGTACTTATGCCTGTGACTTCATTGCTGTCACAAGACACAGGAGCATGAGATGTCCCAAGCGTTTTTTCCCCAAAGGTTTTGGTCTGTGATCACATGATAAAGATGGATTGATTTAAAGGTCCTGTTGTATTTCGCCTGAGAGAGTTGATTTCTTTTTTTTAAAGCTGGGGTGGAGAAGAACTGTGGGGAGGGGATCCTAGCAAGTTCTGTTGCAACTCCTTCCTCCCCCACCCCATTCCATTTTACATTTTTTTCCCAGAATCCAAAAGGACCTCAGGACAGCTCAGTGCAAATGAACAAATATCAGCAAGCTTGATTTTTTTCCCTGCTCAAAACTCTTGTGGAGTCACAATCAGCCTGCGTCCAAGCCTAAGACTTCCCCTTTACTCAGGCTGGCCCAGCTCATCTCCATTATCCAGAGAAAGATCAAAATATGTTCCTGATGCCTTTGGATTGACGCTTGCTATAATAAGAACCTGGATCTTATTTTGTACTTTGTGCACTTTGATGTATTGATGCATTTACTGGCTGTTTAAAATGCCCAGTGACCGAAGTTTTCTGGGCAGTGTGCAATGTATTAAAAACATGAAGTACAAATGTAAAAAAAAATAAAATAAAAATGGCACAGAATAAAACCAAGGTAAAACTGCAAGCAAAAAAATAAAGCCATTACAAAATCATAAAATCAGATTAAAACTAGAATGCTGATGTTTGCTGTCTTTATACATAATATAGTATAATGGTGACTGAATATTTTTACCAGTACGTATTTCATGATAATTATGTATTATGGCTGTTAGCTGCATTGAAGAAAGGCACAAAGTGGATGTGAATTTTAATCATTTTAAATGTGCTGTTTTCTTGCTGTGATTAGAAAGGAACCAGTGCTTCACTGCATCTCTGTGGTTTGTTTTCTCACTCTTGTAAAAGAGAGAAAGAAAGAAATCCCGTACTTCAACAGGGCATTCTTTGAAGCAAGCACAGGGTTCTTAAATGCTATTGTGAACTTAAAAGAAAGGAAAAGAAGGGAAAGGTTCTAGGTAATATGATCTAGAAAACTGTTCTGCATGCATATGCTAATATTGTAGCTATGACAATTTTTTAAAAGATGTGGATTGCTTTAAAAAACATTTCTTGCTGCTAATCATGTTGCTTTTTTAAATCTGTCACATGAATTGAATTTTAAAAATCGTTGCAGCCTTCCTATAGGCAAATCTAAATGACAAAATGGCTTCCTGTCAGCCATTTTGTAGGCATACAAACAGCTAATTTAATCCAGTGGTTTTGTTTTAGGGTGGTTGTCTCCCAGTTAAGCTATCACTTTGAGGAACTGAAAAGATTTTACGAAAGACTGGCACCATTTTTCTCTCTGGGAAATGTCCCTGGATCGTTTTGGCAGTGTCTCCCCGGACTCGGACTACACAAAAGCTGAAAACAGCATCCACTTTTCAAAGAGCTATTTTGTTCTTTGTTTTATAGTTTGCCAGTCTCTATTAATACCCCAGAGCAGCACCTGAAGCTTTTAGAACTTCTCCAAAAAAAATTTTGTTTTGTTTTGAGGTGAGCTTAGGATCACACAATGGCTCACGTTTATTTGCATTCTAAATAGCTGCATTAACGGTATTCAGACTTTTTGGCTTTGCCAATGCTGGAATTCTAAGACATTCAATCAGATATGCTGGTCATGAACAATGGTGCTTTGATACCAAGCCATAGGGAAAAGCACAGCTGTGACATCTTTTTCCCTAGGAATGTGCATGAAACCAGGATTCAAAGCACCTGATTTCTTGCCATAATGAGGACAATTTTCTTTTTCTGTTCTTTTTTCTTTAACCATGACATCTTGAGTTCCATCCCACTCTGTGAAATGGTCTTTGCAAAGCACATTGCTCTCCTCCCACCACACACCACCCCACACACACTCACTATGTTATACCATTTGAATGTTTTAACTGTGTGACTAAGTGAGAAAAATATATTGTTATGTTTAGATCAGTTCTCTTTCTGCTGATTTGCACAGATCTTGCCACTAAAATATATGCCTTCCCTGAAGAAACTCCAAAATGCATAGGAGCATTAAATTCCAGGACTAAATTTATCAAGTAAATATATTATTAGGGGATCAGGAAAGAGAACAAAATTAAATATATCCTTTGCCCATTAAATGATTCTTTTCCCCTGCCAGCTGAACACCACTTTTTCTCTGCCTTACAGTTGGCATTTCTCTTATATTTGCTTGTCTGGACCCCTTCTTCCCTCAAACTGTGGTATGTGCCTGAAAAACCCGAACAATTAAAAATAATAATTAAAAGGGAAGGTTGGATCAGTAAGCAGAACAAAATAACTCCCCTATAGCGGCCTAAGTCAACACATACAGTGTTGCTGGCTACCTACCCTATGATAGTTTTCAAAAATAATGCAACTGAATATTGTAAATGCATTTCTTTGTATATCTTTGTTTCTGCTGTTTCTTGATACCCCCTGCCTACCTCACAACAGCCACATATGGAAAAAACCATCATGCTAGGGGAGGTTGAAGGCAGAAGAAGTAAAGGAAAACCGAAGAAGGGATGGACTGACCTCATAAAGGAAGCCATAGCCTTAATTTAGAACACCTAAACGAAAGCTAGGACACCTCAGGGATGTCATGGATAGGATACTTTGGGAAGCTTTCATTCATATGGTTGCCAGAGTTGGAGATGATTTGACAGCAGATAACAACAGATGTGGGATGTGGCATTCGGTGGTGCCACTCAATCACTTTAGTACCTGGATATGCTTTAGGGAGGGGTGGGAGAATGTGTTAGCCATGTATCTCACTGTATTTGTATAGCATGTAAGTAACTTTTCTTATCTCCCACTCACTACCAGTTCATGCTTTGCATCTGTTTCTATATTCCTGATATGTTAGAACAAAAAAACCACCAAGCACTATGGAAAAGGTACAAACTGAGCACATGCAGTTTCACATTTTAGACTCAAGTCATAGCACCATCATGAATATAGCTATAAAATGGAGCGGAGGGTCATTTGGCGAGGCCCTGGTGGCCTCAGGGTGCAAATCTAGCTGCACCATTGATAAGGCCATGGGGTTGGCTAATTTCCTATTGTATGATTTTCTGGTTCCCTTGTTTAGTTATTCTGCACACTGCAGCTATTTTCCACTCTGCCTGTCCAGTATCAAGGTGGGGTCCGAAATGCAGTTGGCTCCTCTGGCCTCTATTGTAATACTAAAAATAGAGGGGGTTCCTGAATCAGCTTCTTCTAACTGTTACTACGTATAAGAAGCAATGACAGTTATCACTGCCACTTGTTCTGCGCAGTGTTTCTTACTGAGACCTGTAATCCAGAGCGCTGGTTCCTGGGAGCAGTAGTTCCGCAGCTCAGAAACGGGGATTAGTGTGGATAACTCCCTAGCATGCCAATTCATCTAAATATATGGCAAATGTAAAATTGTCCTAGCACTGGGGATGAGCTTTAAAATTGGACACATGGTATCTGTAGAAAGGATTTGTACAGCCATTAGTAAAGACAGCCACACTGAGGTTGCGTTATGCTTAATGAGCCTTGTGGCACTCCATGAAGTTCTTCTGTCACACAATTTTTTTCTTACCGTAAAATAGGATCCTTTGAACCTGTCTTGACATTAGTGCCAAGTGTGCCCCATTTTGCTGAGTGGCAAAATGTTTCAAGGTGCAGCACTTACCTGGCTTTGGTTTTGTATGGAATGAAATCACTGAGGACCTGTGGCAACTTGTAATATTTGAATGTATATACTAATATGCAGCCTGAGTCCAGCGGGAGGCAGACAACAGAAACATTCCAGCAAAGCAAGTGTCATTGCCCCTCGCCGGATTTCCAGAGAAGTACCAGCATATCCCCAAATGCCCTCTCCTCAGCTCAGCCCTCTCTGTGCCTCTCTCAGCCTGCCTTATTCCCTGATTCAGAACTGCAGCTTCTATTGTTCCTCTGCACACAAGGAAATAGATGACAACATTACTGGTACAGAAGAAAAACGGTATAACCCTTACCTGCTTCTCTGAGTTGTAATGCAATCTTCTTACAATTAGCTCCCACTGCGGAACATTACCTGAATATCCCAGGCAATTAAAATTCCTTTGGCAAGTCCAGGAGTCTGTAAGGCCAGTTATCGCCTTACAATAAGATATTGCCTTTCTGTGTAACTAGGTTCATATAAGGTTGTTTGGGGGGAAATAATGATGTAGTAGGAACTTCTGAAACTACCATGGTTTTGTGCAAAAAGTGATAACTACTTCTCTCTAAAGCATTTCTTCCATTCCAGTACACAGGTGTGCACATGTGTGTGTGTGTGTGTGTGTGTGTGCATACATCCTCTCACTATTTGAGCCCCTCCATAAAAATTGGACTCAGCAACTCTCCATGATTAGAAATCCAAATGATAAAGCAGCAAAACATAACAAATGTCATTTTAAAATGTTGTGTTTCTGTACTAAAATTATCCCATGTTTTTCATATAGAATAGTCATTCAGCTTTTTCCTGTCCAATAATTTATTAAAAACAATTCAATGGACTGTATCCAATGTGGTCATTCCATTAGCACAATGCTTTTATCATTTGTAGAAACTGCATTTTCATCTTTCTAGAAGGGTCAGGTGCAATACTTTGATTGGATCTTCACTAGGCCAGGTGTTCTTGTGCTTGTTGGTCACTACTTGTACAAATGCCACCTCTTCTACCATTTCTGCTAGTATAAAGTTGGATACAAGCTGTTAAATTTTTAAGGGGGCACCTCAGCTATGTAATTCCCTACCCTAAACATGTGATTCCCCCATGAGTGAAATTTGGGGTATAATTTTGACATCTCTGTCCTCAGAACAGTCAAATTAAAGAAATCAGAAAGACAAACCAGCAAATCTTTACACAGAGGCTGTCTAAACAACACTACGTTTAGGGTTCCTAAGTCTTGTTTGGAGGGATGTTACTGGGATGGGCAACCTCTTTCAGCCGAAGTAGTCATTTCTTCAGCAGCAGCACCTGGCAATACAGCACAATTTTAGACATGCGTCTTTACAAGTAAGATCTGCTGAGTTCAGTTCATTGAATTTTATCCCAGTCTATCAATATCCTGTTGATTGTTAATAACATATCTCATGACATACAACGTTTATTTTTTAAAAACATTTCTATTGATTTTCATTATCCAAAAAAAGCTTCATAAGCATCAGCCTCAGGCCTCAATGATATAAAGGTGTCACTATACATAAAGGGAAGAAACCTGTATGTTAGGACATAGAAACCTGTGAAACACAGGTTTTATATGTAACAGTCAGCCTCATTTTTCAGCCAGGATTGTGTTTCATCAATATGTGTATCTTTTCATACACATGGAAAGCAGTGTGCCCTGTTCACATGTGATTGAATGGTTTATACAACCACAGCGTAAATTATCAATTACCCACATTCTATCCTACCATTCTTTTCATTTCTCCAATACCTTCCTGCTTCCGATCTTGCTGCCATCCAAAAATGTTAAGTGCATTTTATAATATGAGTGTTGATTATCACATGAACACAAGGCTGTCATTACACATATGCATTTATTTGTGATTTTTCCTTGCTTCTTGAAATACCAGGCTCCAGAATCAATTTGTTCTGCCGCCACGTATGGAAATAATACCCAGTTTTGGAGGCCAAACCTAATAGTAGTTTCTAGTTGTGTAAAAGGTCTTACTAGGTGTGCCTGTACTTGAAATATAGATACAATGTGTATTATTTGGTGAGTATGTATCCAAGCTTTGATGCTTTGATGTCAGTCTTGCAACTGTATCCTAGTTTTAGGGAAACATTCTGTGAAATAAGTCTTTCTGAATGTGTAAATTTGTCTTGATCAAAGAAAAGGGGATGACATAGAAAGAGTGCCAGAGGTGATGGTGAAAACAATTCAGTGCAGATACTACTGCATGTCTTATCTAAGCCAAATAAAATCAAAGGGCTCAGAAATGGACAATTCTCTGCAGCTTTGTACCCGTAACCTTTCTGTTTCTTGTTTTACCATCTCTAGATTCCATCAGGGTGTAATTGATTTGCATGTTTGTAATAAGTGCAAATGTAATAAGAATAAATTAAGTAATTAACTATTGACTGCCACTTCTCAATACCCAAAATCAGCTGCCTGATGTGGCTTTCTGACTCTGTCCAATGGTAGGACAGGCCTGAACACCTTTAATCACTGAATATTAATATGTGTCTAGCTCTTGGAGAGGGAAAATGTATTTTAATAAATATGCTTTACAAATATCCCTGATTTTTCTTACTTAGAGTTATCTTTTCTGCACAAAGTTGATAATTGTGATGTCTGCTTTCGATTTCATTCCAACACTGAGACCCAAGCACTACAGAAAAAGCTTTCTTTCCTGCTTTGCCAGTGCACAGCCGCTAGGTGGAGCTGCGCAATAGCAGAATAGCATAAATACACCAGAAGAAAGAGCACTGTTTTCTCAACTGTAATTTAACACCAAACACTGGGGGAAGAATGCTGGGGAGGAGGCCAGGAGACGAGGGAAACTGGAACACTGGGCAAAAACCTGCCTTATGTAGAAAAGTTTGCTGTATTCATTTTCCCTTCGCTCCAGTAGATGCTCTTGAATTTAGCAGGCACATCATTGTTCATCTGTGTTGTTAATGTTTCATATTCAGGGGATGAGACTAACTTGGGGGACTATTGACTTGCATGTTTAAACAGAAATAAGGCCTGTAACTCCCAGCATGCCCCAACCAGCTGTTCCACCTCAAAATGCAAACTCTCTTGGGCCAGACCAGCCTCAAGTTAAAGTCTCTTGAGCAACAGCATTTTGCCACCTTACTGCAAAACACAACGGATTTTTGTCCTTTTAGAATATGACTGTGTGAAGATGGGAGAGGAGCTATAGAACCTGAGTAAAAAATTAACAGAATACCAAAGAATGGATGTCAAAGATGGATAATCTTCCTGAAGAGGCCAGTGTAGGTTCTTCATTGTAGATTTTTCAGCAACAGCAAAAACTTGGCTCTTTGAGTTTCATGAAAGCTGATGATGTGATGCATTGGCTGTTGACCGGTTCAACATTATGGGAGGATCATGATTACCCAGTACTTTACTCTGTTTTAATTGTTAAGAGTGCTTTATATCATGAGTCACCATAGTGATCTCCCCAGTGGAAAACCAAGTTAAAAGTATTTCAGTTAATTAATTGATAAAAATGACAGATAAGGACAGACCAATCTGTCAGTTTCAGTTTTTCCCAGCATCTCAGTTTCATAATCCTACATTCACTCCATTTCTTTCCATATCACTTTGTGGCTTTAAAAAAAAACCCATCCACACAAAATGCATGCATTTTCATTTGTATTTTTCTGATATATGCACTATTATATGTAATTTTACCTAACACACACTTCTTTGCAGGCAGCTTTCCTTAATATAATGCTAGTTTGTGTATTCCCCCCACTATATGGCTTTTACACTCATATTTTCCCTGAATATGCACATTTGTGTGTGTTTGTTGTGTGAAGAACTGCATTGCAAAATTCTGTGATGTGTAAATACCAACTGATACCTGCATTCTGGTTTGCACATTCATTTGGCAGTTACGATTTGTTAAGATCTTATCCAAATGTGAAACAGAAGAGATTCTTCCCCATCCCTGAGGAGAAATTGGATCCAGAGAA